AAAAAAAAAGACTATAGACTGATGAATTTGTTTGTATGATATATAACTGGAAAGATATGTAACAATCTAGACATGGAGATTCTGGGGAATGAAATGGACAGTGGAGACCTTTCCTCAGATACCCGTCATTTGAAAGCTGCATCCCATGGATGTCTTTCCATCAACCCCGTCGACAACCTGAATTCCCTCATACTCCCCCAGGCCGTCTCGGTAAGCTCAGGTGGGATGCAAATGTCATTCCCAGCTGGCTGGCAGTGGGCCTGTGTCCCCTTCCTCTGATCACCTGGCGGACACGGACCCGCGCAGGTCCTTCTTCCTCTTGGCGGGCCCCTTGACGGATGCAGTTATTGGGCAGACCACCCCCTCCCTCCTTCCTGTATTTGGCTGCTGGACGACGCCAAGCGCCCACTGCAGGGGCTCCGCCTCTCGAACCACTTCCTCCAACCCCTGAACCTGAGCAGCGGGGCCCCGGGCTGTGGACCCGCCCCCATCCTGCTCTGGCCCAGTCGGGACGCGCTGCCCTCCCCTCAGGAGCCGCCCAGGGGCCCTGGAGGGCCAATCTGATGGCCCCAGGGAGCCGTCCGGAGAAGGGCAACGCGGACGGCCCCGAGCCCCGCGGGAGGCTGCGGGGTCCGCGGGGCCCCACGTCTCCATCCCCTCCGCGCGCGGGGTCCGCCTGGCGCGCTCCGGGACCGAGGACTGCGGCTCCGTGCGGGCAGCGCGGGGCCGGGCGTCGCGGGCCTGGAGGACGTGGAGCCGGGTGCGGCCCCGCCGAGCAGGCGCCGAGGTGGTCGAGACGAGAAGCGGGCGGCGAGGCGGCATCCAGGATTCGGGTGACGCGGCCGCCGAGTCCGCGCCGCAGCGGGGTTCGCCTCCGGTAGCCCCCCTAGAGGCCTGGCAGGGAGAGTCCCGACAGGCCGCCCGGCCGCGGTGGCGCCGGACCCGGCCTTGCTCTCACATCGCGCGGCAGATGGACCACAGCCCCGGGCCAAGGGCTTCCGGGGGCTGGAGGAGCAGGAGTGAGGGGTTCACTGCACGGCGCAGGTTGCAACCCCTGGAGAATCAAGCAGCAAAACGGAACCCACCGCCCAGACCCAAGACACCCGAGCCGGGGGTGGGCCCGGGTCTCCACTGCAGCTCCCGCAGGGGGCCAGCGGAGCGGAGGGAGGGGCCGTCCCCCGGGCCTCAGGGGCCAGCAGGCGCGCGCCGGCCCTGGGCTGCATCCTGACCTGGACGCCTTTACTGCCCCTCCTCTGGGCAGCCGAGAAGCCTTCCTTCCGGACCCCGGCCGGGCTCCACAGCGGCCCCCACTGTCCGAGCCGTCATCGCGTGGCTTCCGCGGCGGGGCGCTGGCCTCTGCAGGCCACACCTCTCCACTTCAGCCCCATCCCCAACTTCCCTGCCACGGAGGAACCCGGTCCAGTGTTGATCAAAACTAAACCCTTCCAAACTCCAACTATTCTTTCAAATGTCTCCAGGGCAGTTTCTTCCGGAATAATTTGGGTTTGGGTTATTTCCATTCAAAACAAACAAGTTCTGCAGAATGCTTAAGTAGGAGCCAGGAGTGCATTTTAGCCGCATGGTTCTATGTAATTATGGATTGGTACCTCTTCCTGAATTTCATTTCCAGAACTCTTACCGCAGGGAAATTTGGACCTGTTAATAAAGTCCCACATAGACACGGGAACAGGGCTCTGGCTGAAGAGGTGTCAGAAATCAATGGGTCCCCCCAGCACCTCAAGCCATCCACTTGAAGTTCCCTGGAATTCATCAGGAGGGCCATATACAGCCTGAACAGAAAAGTATTTGAGGATTTAAGGACACCGGACAGGTATCGTGCCTGACCTACGATGAGGGTGCTCATTTTCCGTAACTGCTGCTTGACATCAGCCCTGCCCAGCTTGTGCTGAACCATGTTTAACAGAAGCTCACACATGTGGGTGCCCAGAAGGGAAAACATACAAGTTCTCGGTGGTGTGAAGTAACTCGGTTCATCCTCAGCAGGCCGACTGTGCGCCAGCCCTCTACGGCACCCACTGTGGGCCCACACCTGGAACCGCTTCGCTTTGGCAGGGAGGCCCGACGTGGGAGGGCCCAAGGAAGCCTGATGCTATTCTGCTGTTTTGTGGTTAGTAGTCGCAGGGCTGGGTTGCAGGACGCAGCCTCAGAGCAGCACCAGGTCGTTTCACTCCTTCACTAGGTGCTTAACCGCCTGAGGGAGGCTGGTGGGCGCTAAGCGCATCCAGGCAGCACTGAGGAGACACCGAAACACCACAGCTGCCGTCGCCACAGGCTGATCCAAGTTTTATTGAGACAATGTACAAACAGGCCATGGAAACAATGGGTCTGATGCCCGGACCAGAAACGAAAAATGGAATACAAAAATAAAAAGGCACTAATCTGTTAAGAAAAGACACTCGATGTTCTAAGAATATAAGTCATTTAATACTGTTAATTTTATAGCACAAAATAAAACAAGCTATGATCCCCAAAAATAATTTTAAAAGCTTACACAGAAAATATTATTGCCTGAAGTTTATGATCTTTAAGTTACAGGTCAAGAGAGTTTTGTGGTGGTGGTGTCATTTTAAAACACACAGTGAAGACCGTCTAGAAGCAAGGCCACTGTTCCTCCTGCAGAGAACTGTCCTACTCCTTCATCATATACAACGAGCTCCCTGTCCACAATGACAGCAGTTACCAGGGACATAAGTCTCCGGTCTCAGAGGGTAGATGGAGTCTGAGGCAGAGCTCAGGGGTGTCCACAGAAAGCATTAGTCTTAGGTACTGTGTTAAAACAATCAAGAATTCACTCATTTTAAGAGTTAATGAACATAATATTAAAGGATTAAATTATAAACACCTGGCACAAACATCCATCATCCCTTTGCAAAAACTAAAATGTTCATGTTCCTCTGAGCAAACATCACAAGCACAGTGGCCGTCTGCCTTGGCCTGCCTTGTCTGTAAACAGTTGTTAAAGAGTGTTAGCACAGGGCCAGGGGTCCGTGAGCTCCACGGAGGGAGTGGCGGTCCTTCCCTCCTCTCAGTTTCCCAGCCATGAGCACAGGAGGCGTTTCATCTGGGCGATCAAAGTCCTCAAACGGCAGCCAGTAAACGTGTCCTCCTCTTTGTTAACCACGTCGTCAGGTGGTACCACACCATGCACAAATGACAAGGGTGGTGTCTGTGGTACTTCCCAGGATAAATAAGTTTTGAATCAAACCGTCAATGCCCTTTAGCACATAATTTGTTCACTTTTCAAGTGAGTTAATTTAAGAGCCAAATATTTTCTTAAATGACACACAGTAGAGCCGAGCAAGTAGCGATGACGAGTAGTCCTAGAGCAGGAAACCAGCCCAGGAGGAAAGGCAGCTCCTCTGGAAGGTTTGCATCACTTTCTGAAGCAGAGTCTCCCAACCACTGGGAGGCCCAGGCATGAAGCGGACAGGGGTGCTGTTTTGTGTATTTAGTGTGAAAAAGATTTCCCTGCCTGATTAAAAAACTAAAAAGGTCCCAAGTCAAAAGGGAACTACTTTTGGCACATACCTCAATAGTTCAGAACTCAAGGCTCATCTTATCTCAGGCTCCACATCTCCTGGGCAGCCCTCCACATGTCCATGGGCTGAGGTGATGAGTAGACTTATTATGAAGCCAAATCTAGGTTTGTGGGCTGTTCTGATTCTGAAGTGCTCCATGGGGTGGGTCTTGCTGTTGGTCAGTGGACATGGCTGAAAGGAAACCTTGCTTTCCAAAATGGCCATATACTTCTTATACTCTGAGCCAACTCCTGTCATCAAAAGGTGTCAAGCCCCTTGGTTAAATTTAGTTTCAAAAGCCTTAAGATTTGTGCCCTCTTCGAATGAGGCACACACTCACCTGCTGCTAGACACCCTCATTAGGTCCAGGGCCACTGGCTGCAAGGCAAGCACTGTTCCTAGGCAGAGTATGGCAATCCTGCCACACATGTGCCCCTTGTGGGAGGGAGGCTGAGACTGAACTCAGAACAAGAGGCAACTGCAGTGGACAGGGACCTCTAGGCTTAATTTTGCCACAGGAACACTCTCAAGATTTTATGATATGGCAGTTGTCTGCCTGAAGGAACACTGATTTAAAGAGAAACTGAGAAACGGTTGTTCTGCCAATTCTGTCACCAGAATATACTGCTCTAAGCCTCAGAACCTAAGACCCTGGGGATGGAGCCATGGTCACAACAGACGCTCAGTAAATGACACAGTTACTCACTGGGTTGCTGCTACATTTCTAGGTCTCCTGTATTAATTCTGAGCTGAGGCCTATCTTCACCAGCATCCAGAAGACAGCATGCATGAAGGTTCTGGAATTCTACTCTGCTACATGCACCACATGAGGGTACATTTGTGCCAGTTGGCTTGTGTGAACAGGCTTCTTTCAGCTGACAGGGAAACTTGAACATCAAACTAGTAAATAGTTAATGGCCTTCCCTAGTCACTAAAATATTAGACATCAAATGCATGAACCAACTTCCAGATCTTGTATTTTCTTTGCCTGGAAGCATTGCAGGCACACAGGCATCTCTGGCAGCCTGATGAGCTTGGGCTGAAGCAGGGAGGAGTGGGCTTCAGTGAATGGAATGTAAAGATTCATTAATGAATTCAATGATTCCATATATGAACCACCCCACTTTTTAAAGAAAGAAGTCCTATACCTTAAATGGGTACATTCACTGAAACATGGGACAGAAAACTTACCAAGTTGTTCCACTCTCTGCAACTGCTCCTGCCGCTGACAAACAAATGAGCAAAGGCTTCTCCAAATCACCCCCCATTCTGATGCTTCTGGGGACAGTGTAGTCCAAGAGGCCGTGCACACAGCTTGGCACATCATGACTGCTGATTTTTTGTTGTTGTTTGCTATATGGCAACTCAAGGTATTACTGGCAATTAAGACAGTAACAGTCTCTGCCTCAGGGTTGTATTTCTCATATTCCTTTAGTTACAGCAGCTTCAGTTTAGAAGCTCAGAGGTACATGTTTTTCCTAGGAACATAAACAAAATCCAACCTGCTACTTAAAAACCTGTTTAGAACACACAAGCCTTAGTAAGTCTTCTAAAACCAAACCAAACGACAAAAACAAAAAAAAAGAAAAGCCAGATTTAGGGAGTTCAGGACAGAATTCCCTCTTCTTTAAAGTTCATTTGCTCCATTCTTCAAAGAAAAAACAAAATGGCAACTGCACCACTGTTCTGCGGAACAGCAGCGTGCAATGGCCTTGAGCTTTCTCTGATGAGCACGACAGAATCAGTCATAAATACAAATGGGGCAGTGATGAGAAGACCCTTTCCTCCTCAAATTCTCTCCACTTGTCTGCTTCCACCAGTACTTCCAGTTTATTATCCAAAAGAACTCTAAAATCGGCTACTCTTTTGACAATACGACTATGACACAGATGCTGAGGCAGCCACCAGGTGCATTCCAAATGTGCATGAGGGACCCCCAGTCTGCGGAAACTTGGCGTCAGCAATGCAGTGTAACTTGCCTATGAGACAGAATGCCTTCCCACTTGAAAGGAGACTATGAGAGGCAGAACAACAAAGCAGCAGGAAACAGGCGACAGCGATCACTCATTTTCATCTGGGTTTTGAGGGTCAATGATTTTGACATGCGTGAAGGGGAAAAGCCCTTTGCGCCCATTCACCTCGCCTTCCCACTGGCCATTTATATTCATCCTTGTGACTTTCACAATATCACCAACCTGTAAGGATGGAGAAAGAAGACAAAGTCAGTATTTTCTCTGAAATGTAAAGAAGGCTTTCTTTAAATCACACACACTTTCCTATCCAAAGGGTACATTTTTTAGGACTCACATGTTTAGTATATAGAGCTAAAATCAAGCAACACCAAAGACGTAAGGTGCTGCCAACAGGCCTGGTGTGCTACTTCTCAGCTGGTGAGAACTTGCGCTAAGTGAAGCGGCTTCTCAGCACGAAAGCAGCCTTTTTTCCTACTAACTCTCCAACAGGATAGAAACGAACACTAGACTCTCTGAGAATGGTTAAAAATAGTGTATTAAAAAAAGCGATTCATAAAAATATTGTATTAAAAAAACTCTGTCTCCACCCTAATTTACATGGGATGGAACTGCTGTCACCAATTCCTCACTCACCGTGCCACCTCCCGTGGGCACCAATAGTCTTCCTGAATTATCCATTCCCCGCCCCCTCTGGAGGCAGTCACTGCAGGAATTTAAACCCAGCTCTGTTCATCTTCTTGGACCTACTTTAAACTGCAGAGCGGAGAAATCCTAACTATTGTCAGAGGACAGGCAGGGGAGGAAGGGAAGGAATTTTGTTTTGGAAGTGGTTTTCAAATTCTTTTGGAGACTCACAGAGCTCTAGGGAGGTGCTCTAAGAGTCCAAAAAATGTCTGACTGTGACTTCAATTTTTTAAACTTACCTATCACCACTTGCAACAAGATATATTCAGAAATAAGTTGGACGCCGGGGCAGACAGAAGACCGCATCTGTCATTCATGTTATTTCCAATTTTTCTGCCCATAGTAACAGTCAACTATCCCCCAACTGCCTAAGGTGATTCTCATAAATCTCAACTTAACAAATACTTCTAAAAAAACTTCACATCTGATATATAGTGGGGTTCCACTCAATATTTCATTTGGGAAAAAGGGGACTTCTGCTAAAGCTACTGGTCTAGCAAGCTGATTGCTGGCCGAGAGTGAACAAGTACATCTGAAACAACAAGGCAGCAGTAGGAGTCCACAACACACAGCTCTGGGCCAAGTAGGTGCTGTCACAGTGTGAGGGCAGCCCACCCTTCCACAGCTGGAGGGTCCCCGACCTCAGCATGGACCCCTATGAGGGTTATGGTGAGGGTAGTTCCCTCCCTCGCCTTCCTTTCTCTCACCCAGTGTTAGAGGGGGGTGCTCTGCCCCTGCCTAACCCTGCAGAATCATGACTTGTGTCTGATCTGAACACCTTAAGTCCATTAAAAAAATTAATTACAAATGTATGACATAATAACCAAAGTTATTTAACACACAAATTAAAATCAGGCCTAGTGACTAGAGAGAATCCAGGCAGGAGGAGCCACTGGGGTGCTATGGACTTAGGCCCGATTTCCTTGAACACTCTGCACTGTGCCTCCTCTAGACCCTTGACCTTTTTGAGCCTTTCAGTGCAGGAATCTACTGTGTTGAGTTCGGAGTACAATGAGGCCACCGAGATGAGGATCTTCACTGTCTGGCCTTCCTCTCCAACATGATCTTATTCTTTCCTTATTTCCTTTTCACCTAAGAAAATGGATTGCCTGTCTATTTTTAAAACATTTAAACAGGAAAGAAATGAAGACTCATGGATAGAAAACTATCATTCCAAATTAACTTCTAGTTGTTAATAATTATAAACACAGAACATACAATATAATTAATGTATTAAAATATACAAAGAGGCAAGAACAAGAGGGTGTGTGGCTATATATGTCGGGTAGGGAAGACTCAGTGAGGAAAGGGGAGGGGAACTGGGTGAGCCAACAGCCAGGTAGACTCTGTGCTGCATGAAAGGACAATGGCCTAAGGGCACCTGGGCAGCCTGTAGGTAGGCCTGCACTCAGAGCCAAATCTAACTCTGACAAAAAGAAAAAGGCTAAGCAAGAACGAGTTAAAACTAAAAAGAAACAAAGCTACAGTTTTGGGCTGATGGATGCTGCTGGGACCAAATGCTTGTCCCCAAATGTGAAACATTTGCCCCACTCATTTGATGTCCCACAAAAAATACTTTAGAATTTTATCTTTTTAATCTATGACTTCTCCATCTTTAACTGAATTCCAGACACCCTGAGAGCCTACATTTTTTTTTTGCTTTTTTTTTTGAGAGGGCATCTCTCGTATTTATTGATCAAATGGTTGTTAACAATAAAATTCTGTATAGGGGAGTCAATGCTCAATGCACAATCATTAATCCATCTCAAGCCTAATTCTCGTCAGTCTCCAATCTTCTGAAGCATAACGAACAAGTTCTTACATGGTGAATAAATTCTTACATAGTGAATAAGTTCTTACATGGTGAACAGTACAAGGGCATTCATCACAGAAACTTTCGGTTTTGATCACGCATTATGAACTATAAACAATCAGGTCAAATATGAATATTCGTTTGATTTTTATACTTGATTTATATGTGGATCTCACATTTCTCCCTTTATTATTATTATTATTTTTATTTTTAATAAAATGCTGAAGTGGTAGGTAGATGCAAGATAAAGGTAGAAAACATAGTTTAGTGTTGTAAGAGAGCAATTGTAGATGATCAGGTGTGTGCCTGTAGACTATGTGTTAATCCGAGCTAGACAAGAGAGAGCCTACATTTTGCCTAAAGTTTGTAATTTTGTCTGCCTTTGCTGCTGTCTGATACACGTGGTAGAGAACAAAGTCTCACCTTCCCAAAAGCCTGGCTTAGGCGGGCACTCTCCCACATCCTGGGTTGAGTCATCCCTCCAGCCTGGGGGGCTAGGAACATGCTCTGACCTCCTGCTGATGCCCTACCTCCAGATCCCCCAGCCTCTCACTATCCGGCTCTGAAGAGCCCAGCCATCCTGCCCTGATGACCTTCTTTCATCTATGTCACCTTAGTCCCATCAGCCCTCCCAACCACCCTACCACACTCTGGTCACTGCTCCCTGTTTCCCCAAGGAACCCTGATGGCCCCAGTCTAGTTCTCTACCTCTGACATTCCATGGCAACCCAAGTAGGAGACTTCACCTGCCCTGCTCTTCTTTTTTGTGGTATTCTGTGAAATAACCCTGCCAGGTAGGTACTTCCCATTTGGCAGTTGTGGAAAGCAAGGTTCTGTGAGGTCAGGAGGTCAGGTGCCTTGTTCTGCAGGATTCTAGCTGGCTTGCTAAGGCCTCTATAGTAACCTCCTCGTGCCTACCACCCACCCCAACACCACACAGCACTCTCTCAAGGAGGGAGCTGGCTCTGCTCATTTTGCACTCCATGTCACAGGTCTCTTGCAAGCTACTTTCTGGAGAAGTCTGCAGAATCAAGGAAAAGAGAGAAAACTATAAGCCACTGTCCCCCATATGCTGGGGATAAATGGCTGAGCAAAGGAGCAAGATTCTGAAGGATACAAGTGACAGGCACAAGGGCCTAAAGACAGCAGCAGACAGACCTTTTAAAAACATGAATAGCATTGGGTCACTGCTTTGCCTTTTAGGCAGACACCCAAAAACTTTTCTGTGCAAAAGAGCAACATCCACAAACTCCTGTCTTCAAGGCTCTGCCTGACCTGGCCCCTGACCCTTCCCATCTCTGACCTATTTCGTGCCTCCCTGACCCTTACCTCCAATCACACAGTTCCTTTCAATTTCTCAAACTTGCCAAGTTCTTTCCCAGATATGGACTATATGACAGACTCAAGGACATGAATGGATGGTAATGCAAATATACACTGTACATCTTAAGGTGCTAACAATCACACTGCACGCTATTACCCAGAACTGCCAAGCTGGTCCTAAGAAACTCTGGACCTCTGCTCTTCTTTCACAGTTGAAGAAACATAAGCAACACTGACCAAAATCACCTGAAGGATAACCTAAGCCACCTTATAAAGCTGTGCACGCAGACCATGAGAGCAGGAAGGACCTCCACACAGTCGCCACTGTCCATGGGTCATTATTCTGCTCAGAGCTCTGGGCTAGGTTCTAGATCATGTACTTAGGATACACAGAGACACAACTCAAATATTAGACATACCTAAAACTAAGATATACAACTTCAGGGCATAAGCAACCCTGTCTGCTTAAAACAAGTATACAGTGGCACAGTGTGGTGTTCATACTATCAACTTTGGAGCAGGACCGGACTGACATCCTGGTTCTGCCATTTTTAGTGGCTACATGACCACTTGGACCAAGCTAAGTCTCCATTTCTGACTTTCAAAGGTTCTTGCCATAATTAAAGGAAGTTCTATAAGGAACTGTTAACTAGAACACCCAGCTATGTAAAGGCAGCTGTTACCTGATGAGTGGAGATTCTGGACAGAACCTGGACCCCAGCCCCACACTCTTGCTCCTGGCTGGTCACTGCCCCCTGGAAGTACTCTGGGAAGAACTGGAATCAGCATGGAACAGCACTGCATTAAAGTGGGTTTTCAACTTTTTAGTAACAAGGGTCCTCTCAAAACTGATGAGGGATGGGAAGGGTGCCCTATTAGAACGACAGATGAGGAGCAGGCCTGAAAACTGAGGGCCTAATAACCTGCTGTGATGGGTACTAAGCAGCAGAGGAAAACAATGGGAAGAAGGAAGGAAGGTGAGCCAAGCACTGAAACTGCCAACGACATTCAAACCTCATTCCTTTCAGTTAAACTTGAGATCTGACAGTCTTCACAGGACACCGTTCTACCTAATCCATTTAGTTAAGATCTACTGCACATTTATTACATGGAAAATGAGCAGCTCAGTTCCTATCTTCAAGGAACCTGTCTTCATTGTAGGACAGACAAAAAATAAGTCACTACCCAGACATGGCAGATGCTCAATGAGTGTTAGGTAATAAAAACAGTATAGAAAGCAGCGAATAGCAGAAAAACAGTATTGAGTCGATGCTGACTTGCCCAGAGGCTGGCTTCCCCAGCCAGCAAGGAGCTATTTCTTTGACTGAGAGAACCTTGACCAGCAGAGCCAAGTCAAGGTTCAGCCTAAGAAAAGAGAATGGCTGGGAGAATTTGATGGCCA